GTAAAGTGCTCGACTTCGCGCGCAGGTCGTCGGGCTACCGAAGCGGGGGTGCCATCCCCTCCGCAGAGGATCAAAATTGTGATGGCATGTCTTCGGATCATCCTCAGGGATGTTTCCCAGACCGTCGCCAATAGCCCATTGTGCAGCTCTAGTGTGACGTAAATAAACAACAACAACAATCTAGATTGCTAGGAATGAGAAATTCAGAGTAAATATCCCGAATTCGGATATCACCACAACGGGACACTCTAGTGTCCTAAGAATGTTAAGTCCTAGATAAATGTCCCAACTTCAGAAATTAAAACCACATGCATTCTAGATTGCTAGGAATGAGAAATTCAGAGTAAATATCCCGAATTCGGATATCACCACAACAGGACACTCTTGAGCAAGGGTTCCCAACCCTTTTGTACCTAAGAGCAAATACCAATATATGGGTCGAATGGCGGGCACCATTTTTTTTTTCAAGATAAATTTATGGTTAATAGACATAGGTAATAATGCACACTACATATAATGAAAAAAAGCTAATTGAAAAAATTAATTTAACATTTGAATATAATTAGTAGTAATATTCTTGTGTAAAATAAACGATTACTAAATTACTTTCAAAACATACGAAGTATAAAAATTATTTATGAAATACAGTCTTTCTTTGGTCTTTGGCATTGCATTTCACTGGCCAGTGCTTCATAATTGGGAGAATATGATGAAATTCCTGCTCGCAAGCAATCATCAAGGTGTTCATCTGTAAGTCTGGATATATATTTTGATTTTATGATATTTATTGTCAAAAACAATGATTCGCACAAGTATGTGGAATCAACTAACTACTTTATTTAATGTGCTGCTCTTTTTGTGAATGGAATATATTCCTTCTACTATATTCCAGAATTTTTTCATCTGATATAATAGTTTTGAGGATGATGTCATTTTGAAGATCCGCAATTTCATTCTCTACTTCTTCTCTTATTTGAAGAAATTCTGAAATGTATTCAACCGTAATAGACAAACGTAACCGTATGTGTATTACGGTTACGTTTATTTGGTTGGTAAAAGGATTTACAAAAAAGGTGATCAAAGGCTCGATGATATTAAATTGTTGAAAGCGCTTTTCAAATTGTTCTTGAAGCAATTGGAGGTTGATGACAAATGTTGATAAGTCAATTTCACTGTCATCATTTTTTTCATGTTTGGAAAATGCACAAGAGACTTCATTTTCAAATGCAATATCCACAAAACTAGCTTAGCTCTGAACGAGTTTATAGCCCCTATCATTTTTTCTATATTTTTGTCCTTTCCTTGCAGCTCCAAGTTTAAATTATTAAGTTTTTCCATTATGCCCGTTACGAAAGACAAATCTGCTAGCCAAAGAGGATCTCTCAGTTCCAAAAATATTTAATTTTTAGTTGCAAGATAATTTTTTATTCCTTCAATTAAATGTAGAAATCTATCAAGTACTCTGCCTTTACTGAGCCAGAGTACTTCAGTATGTATTTGCATAGCATTTAAGGGGAAAATGGAGAACTGAAATATTTTATCTTTGGGCACAAGTAGCGAGTTCACCTAGACCGATCGACGGGCGCCATGGTGCCCGTGGGCATAGGGTTGGGGACCCCTGCTCTAGAGTCCCAAGAATGTTAAATCCTGGATAAATAACCCAACTTCAGAAATTGCCACCACGGGTCATTCTAGAGATCTAGGAATGTGAAACCCCGAGCAAACGACCCAAATTCGGATATCACCACAACAGGACACTCTAGAGTTCTAAGTATGTTAAGTCCTCGATAAATGTCCCTACTTCGGAAATTACAACCGCGGGGGATTATAGAGTTCTAGGAATGTAGAATCCCGAGAAAATGACCAAAATTTCGATATAACCACTACGGGACACTCTAGAACCCTGAGAAGACAAAGCTTTATTCTTGGACCACACCCTTACGACAACTCTGAATATAAGAGTTAGTATTTACAAAATCGCTATTGTTAGTTTTTTTTATAGAAATTTATCATTTTAGTTAGAACAAAAATGGATAGAATATTTCATTCTTTCAGGGTTTATTTTTTTATAACTGGAATGCTGAAAATGTCAGAGAGATTCTTGACAACTATGAGTTTCCTTACTTAAAATGCAACACTGCGGAAGAAGCGTTTGATGTTCTAATGAAAGCAGCTACTGATTTGGTACAGGTAAATAAATAATTAATACTTTTCTTGGTGCTAATAACTTTATACATTTAATATTTTTTATGTATAAAGTAACAGTCCGGCAACAGCCCGATGTGGGCGGGGGTTAAGGATCCATAATTTCGTGACCAATGGCATGATTATGGTAATGTGATCAGCACTGCGCACTGGTCCCCTTTACTTCCCACACAAGCTGGTACCCATCGATTTGAAGCTCGGTACGCTTCAATCCGCCACTGGAGATCGAATCCCAGTTCTTCACAATGATAGGTCTGTGCCTTAACCACCGAGCCACTCTTTTAAAAATATATAACCACTTCGCGACTCTTTATATATGTACCATATATAAATCTTCCCTATTTATTCTTCTTACAGAACAGCTTTAGTGAATACCTTTTTAAGTCACATCATTTGGAAGTTCAATGTAAAAAAAGAGTGTAATTACATTGATTTTTACTGAATTGTAAGTGTATGAATTTGTGAAAGAATGACAAGATTACAATTCGGTATTTTAATATTTTGATCGCACATTTACATCGTGGACGTTTTTTTTAAGTACTAGGGAGCCCCCTGCTAACTGCCGCTCACCAACCTCTATTATTGCTTGTCAATAATTTTGTTTCCTAGAATAAATTGGTTTTTTCTTTAAAAGTGGAAATTATTTACTTAAATTGTATCTACTAGAAAGATTTCTGTTTGATTAGGCTAGCGCCTAAGCAAACATGTGCATGCTCCGTATATCATATACATGTTCCGAACTATTACGTATACCTGGCAGAATTTCAATACTTTTTGTGTAGCTGAGAACATGGCACATGACTTTATTTTTCCGCTTATGCATGTAATGAATGTTTTTAAAATATTTATATTTTATAAAATTTTTAGAAACACTACTTTTGTATTTTAGAGCGGTGCTCATCATTTGAACTGTTCAGAGAATTCCTCTCACTGGAATGTAATTGTTTTTTCGATACTTTTCCAAGCTAGAGGCCGTAAGTACTCTTCATTTCTATAATTTTGACCACCTGATCCACCATTTCATTTCAAGTACCTCCAGTTTTAAAATCTTACAGTAGTATGAAAAAGTTATAGGGAGATAGCACTCCTTGATGTACACATACGCTATAATACATTCCAACGAATCATTTGAAGAATAACCCTTTGGGGACGGGTAACTCACAAAAGCATTCGTACAAAATCAGAATCAGGATGTAAATATATAAAAAACGGTAGCTTAAATGTAGGCGTTGCTAATTTGACAGGCTTACTTTGCTTTGACTTTAACTATTGTTAGTTTAATTATACATATACAATCAATGTTAGTTCAAAGTATTACTGAATAATTTTATTTTGAACTAAAGTAATGGTGAATTAAATAAATCAAACAATTATAACCCAGCCCACAAATAAACTGCTAAAGAACTACTTTGTTTACCGATTTTATCTTTTTACCCTGGTTGATACGGTTTTGTACTGGCACGTATTTGTGACATTCGGCGAGAAAGGGTTAAGGAAGTCATCGTATCCATGAGTGTGACAGACGATGTTTTGAGAGGACACTATTTAACACGTTGTTTTTATGGTGCCGCAGTGCAATCAGAAACGCATTTTTTTCAAAAATTGTTTATGAATGTCACGTGAAATTAAGCCTCAATCGTATGGTTGAAAGTGGAAAATACCACATTTTGTATACCGGCTGTAAACGTCATTTGCTCACCACGGCATTTTTTTTCTTCATCCCAAACAAAATAATAATTGATAAGTAATTTAGAATATGCAATCTTTTCCGATGTGTTTCTGAATAAATATCAAATAAGTGCATTAGCACTCTTCGTAAATACGATGTTCATTTCTTTTTATCAATTGAAATTAGAAGAAACACGGTGTCTACCGGTCACGAAAATTTTCATGACCTTTTTTCCGAATTCGATGACTTTTAAGGATTTTTGAGCTTATTTTTTAGATACTGTCTTTCCAACGCATTTGATTTTATGTACAGGAATTAGTTTAAAAAAGTAGTAATTAATATATCTTTTAAAAAAGATTTTTGTTTGAGACAATAGGCATTCTGAAGACGATTATTACCGTCTTTAGCCTACATATTGCCATAATTTATACGGCCATAGCCGTCATTAACGGCAACGTGTTAATAGACACTACTAATGCATTCAAGTGAAGCAAATGAAGGATATAGTGGTTATTACATTGGCGAATATGAAAAATGATATTTTGAGAAATTTAAAGTTTTCTATAGCCGCAGACTATTCCGTCTGCTTCTCATTTTTATGAACCCTGAATTAAATTTGTACGACTATTTTCTCACTAAATTGAAATAAGTAAAAGAAACAAAATTCACAATTTTACTAACATAATCGACCTTTACTATAATAGTTAATTAATAAAATTTGTTAGGGTTCGATACTGATGTATACAGTGATTTTGGGAGCATCTTAGCCTCGTCCTCTCAAATAGAAAGTGCGGATGTACCTGCATCAGTACAGGTGAGTACTTTTACTTTCCATAAGTAGACTTGAATAAAATGAAAAACTTTCTGTTAAAAAATACTCATTACTATGACAATCGCACATTTTCGTAATTAATACAAAACCAGAAGCTCTTTTTTTAAAGTTGTAATATTATTTAGGATTATTTCTGACATCGAAAATTGCTTCTTCGTTAAATTCAACTTTTCTTCCCAAAAACTTTCTTTTCGATTTAATTGTGAAAATATGATAAACCTAAGAATTTTGCTCGGTAACAATTCCTTTCTTAAAACCAATGCTCTTCGTTTACAATGAAACATTTATTTAATTTGTAGATAATTGACCTAGTTATACAGAATATTTACAGCGAAATGAGAATCAGGATAAGCTTTACCTGATTTCTTGAGCATTTAAAATCTTCATTGTTAACACATGGCAAGCGGGTCACGTAAAATATGTATTCAAATTTTCCGTTATCCATATAAAAGTTTAAAAAGTGGTAGCGCTGTTTTCCAAAAAAATTACCCATTCAAGATTATCATAAACATAAATTATTACGTGTAATCAGTGCTTTAATCGTTCTTCGTAATTTTTTTTAAAAATTGGAGTTGTAACTATAGTGAGAAGTTTGCTCCATCTTTTATGAAATCTTGCTCAATATTTTTTTAAAAATATTTTTAATCTAAAACAGCTGTAATGAATTTTTTGTTGTTGTTAAGTTGCCCGCATTTTATGCAATAAAATGTCAGGTCTTATATATTTGCTAAAATGATTTCGTGGTAGTCGAAATCATTATAATAATTGAAAATCAAATTTATTTATTCAAAAATAATATGGTAAAGCAAAACATTTCTTGCCATTTCCAACTAAAACATCGATTAAATTTCACGAAAAAAAACTTTCCACTAAAATGTTAAGCTTAATTGTGGTTTAATAATATCGTTATCTAAATGATAACGATATTATTTAGGCAAAGATAATTACACTTAATACATAAATAGCACTTAACACATTCCATACGATCACGTAAGGAATGAATTTTCAACAACATTTACATATTGCAACTACATTTACGAAGCTGTATGTTAACTTCATATTTTTTTTTTTAGTTTTTAAAATAAAAGTAGTTCTAAAGACACCCAATCTCCTCATGAGGGATTGTTGTAACAATGCCTGTAGGTAATATAATTTATTTATTTTTCAGAAAGTAGCTAATCAAATAGTGAAAGATCTGAGCCCTGAAAAATTCAAAGCAATGAGTTTAGAAGTGAGTACTTATAATATTATTTAAAAATAAATGAAAATTAATAATTTAAAAAAAAGAAAGAGATAAAAACCAATTTTAAGGCATGCTGTCTAAATAACAGAAGCAAGTTTAAGCTTCAGAAAAAACGCTATTCTTAAACTAATTTATTCCCTATTTGCTAATTTTCAACAATATTTTGAACATTGCTCTTCACGTAATGAAGCGACCCAGATTTGAGCAACGGCGAGGGCTTGCCAATTGTTTACGGCTGCCAACTTGCACCGACTCAAACCGATTCATTTTCGGCCGGCCTTTGAACTAACCATGGACTAATCATTGCGTAAAAACTAGTCCCCAACGAGGATGGGTGAGTTGAAATACTTGATCTATAAAAGTTCCTTTGTCTTTGAGTAGAGTTCATGGTCTTATACCGACGAAATCGAACATCAATTAATATAAGGCAATGATCGGCGATATGCAACAAGGGTATTAAAGAATTGCCTTCCTAGCCTGATCGATCCCTAGCCTAGACTTGTCATTGAGCAAGCATATCTGGGACCACTTAGGATAGGAAGTTGGACAACCTCCGAGTGGAGTCGATTTACTGGTGTTTTTACAGCAACTATGGAACAAGATGGCTTAGGGGATCGTAATTGGACTTATATGTTTCTGTGCCCGACTGTATCGCGTCTTGCCTAGAGGTGGCCCAAGAGGGTACTAAAACTTTCATTCATTTGTACTCCTTCTTACAGTAAATGATTATTTTTCTTTAATTTTTTAATCACTTGCTTACATCAACGCTGTACTTACGTATGGAAATTTCGTTTTAGTCTGACAACTCTTTCAAGGGGTGTTAATTTTTAATGGCAATAAGTGTATTTACTGAATATAAATATTCCTCTTGACCAAAAATTGTATAAATCGTCAATTTTTATAAAATATTTTAAATAATTACTAAAAAAAATTATTTTATTAAAATTCTTTTCACTGGGCATCGTGAAAAATGCTCGGATTAGGCTTTAAAAAACTGTCAAATCAAACATAAAAAATTCAATTAAATATATTAATATGAATCATCATTATTTATATCTAAAAAATTAAAAAAATATTTTAATTGTAGTAGATTTTTTTGCTTCCTATGCAATATCAATCAATATAACTCAAATAAATCATCTCTAACATTTTTTGTTAAAAATTCTTCAGAGCGATGTAGCAATTAGTTTCGTAAAAAATTAAACTTGTAGATCAATTGATAGTAATTTTGATTGGATAAAATTTAGTCCCAGAACCAACTTCGAATAAATAAAATTGGCCATACTTGCTAGCAAGATTTTTGTATTTAAATGTTTTTCTCACGAATTAACTGATTGCTTTTAGGAGGCAGAAAAATGGCTGAACACATCGAATACAACGTCAAGCAAAATGTATTGCGAATTCATTGAAAGACACGGTCATCGATGTCTTAAAGAAGTAAGTTTATATTCATTATTACGATTTGATGTAATATTTACACTACTGTTAAATACACAAGCAACAGACGCTTTTTAAGAGACGCCACTGTTCTTAAAGTCCCGTTTGTATTGTTCTTAAAGTAAATTTTTTATTGTTCTTAAAGTGTCGCTTGTTTTGTTCTTAAAGCAGTGTAGGCAGAGACTCTGGATAACAGAATTTTGATTAAGATGTCGAATAAAGTCTCCCTAATGCGCGTATTAAATGCATTTTGCCTACCCAAGTATTTTTAAATAGACTTCTCTAAAGTCAGTATTTTAAATTTTGTTACACATTTATAATATTTTTATTGTTGAATTAATGTTCATTAACTTAGATTAATTCTAATAGGAATTTTTTTAAAAAAAGTATAACTTAGTCCAAGAAAAGAAGTTTGTAAAATGTGACTTTAAAACGAAAGGACCTATCGATATCGGTTACCGACTTATTAGGTTTGAAGAAAAAGTGGCTACCAAGTTATTAGTTATTACTACTGGCCACTGGCTACTAACTGAAAGTTTAAATGTTCAGTTCTAGCTTTAAGTCTCGTTCGTATTGTTCTTAAAGTTGATTTATTATTGTTCTTAAAGTTTCGAAGCTATTCAATTCTACTTACAAAATAAAAACTTCTAAGCTTGTATTAGTTATGAGAGTTTAGGCATAACGTCCTAGGTATTAAACCTTTTGCTCCTCATTTCACAATTAGGCTGTTCTTGCTCTGACTACTTCACCTTTATATTGTTACGAACTTATTATGTCCGATCATCGAAACCAGTGCTCCACAACCTTTTCATCTCCCTGGGCCGGTAAACATTTGATAATTTTACTGTTTTTAAACTTGCCTTCAAATCAAAATACAGTTACATGCTCTGTATGGGTGTGGATATTAGATGACGGATCTCAGTTTTAGGTTTCGCTTAAATTTAATTTTATCTCAGTTCCCAGTTAATCTCTCGTTCATAGAAAATCACACAGCCCCGAAAGAAGTACACCACAGTAGGTAAAATGGAAATAATTTAATGCTCCTAGGACGGCCCGGTACTATTTGATCCACGAACTGGTACCGGTCCGTGGCCCGGGGATTGGGGACGATCTGACCTAAACTATTGAGAAAGCTCCTCGAAAGAAAATTTCCCTGCCTCTAAAAGCGCTACGAACGGGCATGGTCCGGTCTTTTGTAAATATAGGCGGTGCTCAAAAACGTGATTTTTTTTTTCTTTAGAAAATATCAATTTTACTACAATTAAAAACAAATTGCTACAATGTGGAGCAAGTTTATTTAATAATATTTAAACGAGGGAAAAAACTGATAACAGAATCTGATGAATTACTGTTGATGAAGGTGGGATTAAATTCTTCAAACTAACTCGATTGCCACTGGTAGGTGTTCCTAACCATTGCCGTACGTATCGTCTTAAATTTTTCTAGGAATTAAATTTTTCTAGCAGTTTCTAAAATTTGAATGACAATATTTCTCTCTAAAAATAGTTTTTTTTCTGTAATTGGCAATGTGTTCATTCTTTTTACTGAATTTAAGGTCAACACAGCTTTTGACCTTTGGAGAATGTTAGTTCTACTTTTATTCGCTAGGAAGTCAGCCTTCTCTTTTCCTTCCACTACACAGTGAGAGAGATCCCACTGTAAAACAATTGTCCCCGACAAAGAATTTAGAAGTGACCAATAGGTATAGATACGTTTCGAGTTATGCACTTTATTACTGAAAATAGTCTGTAGAGCAGCTTTAGAATCTGAAAGAATAACAATTTTATTAAATATTTGTCCTCTGGCAATCTCTACCTCTTCATCGAAGCTAGTGGTATTACTTCCTACAGCTCTTTGTAACGAAAAATGATCACAAAAAATACCAGCTCCAGCACCTACACCTTCATCATTGAAGGAGTCATCAGTGTTTCTATGAGTGCACTGGTCTTTAATCATAGTCTCGAGAGCAATACTGCTGTGCAATTTAATATACAGCATAAGTGCTTCGTGATTGATTCCGAGAAAAGTGGCTTGAAAACTTTTCTTCTTCCATTGCTAATGCTATGCTGCAAAAGTGCTAAAATAGAACTTCAAATAACTTATCGAACAAAATTAATTTTCGAAATTTTTTTTGCCATATATATGTAGCTTACCATACAAAGATACCAAATATATAAAAATCTCAACTTTTAATTTTTTGTCGCTAACGTAGAGTTTTCAATTGCGCGGCAGAATAGCAAGAAGTTCTAGGTGAATCATTTCCTTTTCTTATCAATTTTTAAAACAAGTTCGAGATGGATGTCGCAGTAATCGAGAGGACAATCTAAATAACTTTGTGTCGATCTATAATATTCAATTTTTAATTTTTTTCAGTTTGATGTTAATTCGACACCATGGGGTCAAGATCAACGGATTTTTATTAAACTCCTACAAGTATGTAAAATTATCTGTTTTTTTAATAAATATTTGTAAATTTGTCTTCTAAAATATTTGTTATCTTTTTCTTGCTTCAGATACAGGCAATGACCACTTGTATTATACATTTAATTGCTTTAATTTAATTTGTAATCATAATTTTTTTGCTCTAAAATTAGTTATTGCACTTAATATATATAAATAGGTAATTCAAATTTTTATACCAAAACTAGACTCTTTTCTTCTTTACTAATATAACTAGGGCTGCCAACTAACTCTAGTGCTTTCAACAGTATTGGTAAAATACTTTATATAGTGCTTTGCAGTCAAATCTGAGAACAAATTGCAAGTAGAATAAGTTGTTGCTTTTTTGGAACATTTTCTAGTAGTGGTGGCAAATTTATGTGAATGCTAGAGTGGAACTTATTCTTCTAGTAGGCTAATAGTAGGATCTAGTAGGCTAAGTAGTTCAGTACGGTAGAATTTTCACGCAGGTATACTTTTTTGGAAAAAAATACTTAGGGTGATTACACAGATTTTAGGGTGTTTACACAGATATTGAAGTTTGGCACTCATATTCTCGGAAATTTACTCCATTAGAAAGAAAGGGGTCCAGCTAGTCTGGAATACTCCCCCAGTACATATCTGGTACTCTGGCGATAAGCTGGGTCGTGCTTTGAACTTCAGAGGTAATAGAGGAGATCAGACCGCGTTCACTAGATTCATTACTGGACACATAAAGTGCATGAGGTATGAACAGCAGCGAAAGGTCTATCCCACCTGCAACAAATGTTTCTCCAGTACAGCCAGTCCGACCCACCTCCTTAGCTGTGTGGATTTTGAAAAGGAGGATTTTCTGCTCGACCTGGTCTTTTTTTTTTGATTTCCTGAGGGTGAGTGGACTCATGGACCTGGTAACAATAACACACAGATATTTAAAAATTGACGTTTTGCTTATGGAATTTCTTTATGGCTGTCTAAAACTTTCAAGGCTCGAGGGAACTCTGTTTAAGCATAAATACCAGATTTAACACTATTTAATCATAAATCAATTACATTAGCTGTATGATTCCCTCAAAACAAATTGATGGTAGGACATAAAAGAGGTTCAAAATTTTAGTCATTATAAAAAATTGGCTAAATTATTTGCTTTTTTACTGTGCAGAAATCAATAAAAACATGGTTCGTAGACATCAGAAAACATGGTTCGTAGACCTCAGAAAACATGGTTCGTAGACATCGGAAAACATGGTTCGTAGACATCAGGTAAAACTTCAAAACTGGTGCCAATTTAAAAAAAAAAGAGATAAGATTAACTAAATAAAATCTAAGACCTTATTTTCGTTTCTTCATGCAGAGATTTCAACTTGCTCAGCTTTGTGAAAAAACATTTTCACGTGTTTATGAAATTTAAGTTATTTTTAGTTCACCAGGTTCAAACTCATTTCCCTTAGCTCACGAAGCAGCGTTGCGAGGAATGTCTTAACCAACCGAGGCAATGGAGTGCCTCTGTAGTAGCATCCGGTATATTTTAATGTGTAGATTTCAGGGTTTATTAAAATGTGTTGCTCAACATTACGAATAATTCACGATACCAAATGAATAATCCACACATTTATAAGAGTTCTTTTTTATAATACGGTAAGGTTTTTAATTATTGACAATGTGCAGTTAAATTTTCTGGATAATTCTTTCTATTTTAATTATTATTTTACTACCACTTTGTAAAAATAATCCCCAACAACCTTACAAGTTGGCTGCTCTGTATTCTTTTAAATGATTCCGATGTTTTTGATTTCATTTACAGACTTTAGCCGGCTGCGCAAAAGAAGACTCTGAAAACTCAGATGAAGACTATTCAAAATTATTTTCTGAACTACGGACGCCCTTAAATGTCCTAAACAGGTAATATATGTTACTATATACAAGTCAGTCGAACAAATAGTTCAAAGTTGCAAGAATTTTCATGAAAAAAAATACGACTTTTGTCACGTACTTAAGTATGTACTTTACCCTCAATATAAACATAAAACATACCCTCAATAATTTACATAAAATATTTGAACATAAAAGCGATACTTCACAATGTATTTTTATGGTGAATAGATCGGGACGAATAATGCGACCACCGGGCAAATAGATTAGAAGTTATAAGGATTTTTTCATAATAAGTGCAACTCAAAAATAGTACTTCTTATAAAATAAAATTTAAACATGAGATGTTTTGAATCGTGTTTAATATCATTCTATTAACACGTTCACGCCGGGAAAAGAGAAAATGCTGGTAGAAGAACTATTTCATTATTATATAATATTCGGGAGGCGTTAATCTATTCTCAACAATAACAATTCACTGTAAGGAAATTTATCACGGCGAAGAGGCAATTCAAGATAAAAATTGCATCCGTTAAAAACAATTGGTAGTTATGGATTTTTATTATTCCAGGAAAAAAACTAAAAAATGAAATTTATTGTTACCAGTTTTTACTCCGGTGTGCTGCCAAGATGAAACAATCAAGCGTAACTCACCGGTTGGTCACCTCGGAGTGAACGTGTTAAATGAGAAAAATTTCTAGGCAAGAATACACCAATTGTCTGTATATCAATTAAGATGCTTTAATAAGTTTAAGTACAAAATTGTCCCTTTCGTACACAAAACGCATATAACTTCTATACTAATAATCTGATTATTTAGAAATTAATCTCATTTAATTCAGTGTAAAAAATTACATCGGAAATTATATCTTACATGTTCAGAAAGTTCCTGAATAGCAATGTATAGTACAGTGCACAGAACAAAAAAACGGGTCACTCTGAATAACTTTTGATTTAATGATCGCATCTTCGCGTTCTAAGAGTGAATCTCTATGGTTCGAGATAGTTCTCTCAATTGTGCTTACTAATTAGTGCAGACGATAATTCAAGTTACGATATGTAGCAAAAAAACGTACTTTTTCTGAATAAAAACACATTTTCCTTGACGGATTCAGATTTGTGTACCCCAGAAATTGTTCCTGAGAAATCAAATTTAGTTATCAAAATCAAAAGTTATTTAGGGTGATCTTCTTTGTTTTATTTTGCGCACTGTACTTTACATTGCTATCCTGGAACTTTCTGAACATGTAAGGTATAATTTCCGATTTGATTTTTTACACTGAATTAAATGAGATTAATTTCAAGATAATCAGATTATTAGTTCAGAAGTTATAAGCGTTTAATGTACAAAAGGCACAATTTTGTACTTAAACTTATTCAAGCATCTTAATTGATATACAGACAATTGAAGTATTGTTGCCTATATATTTCTCTCATTTAATAGAATGATATCAAAAATGAATCAAAACAACTCATGTTTAAATTTTATTTTATAAGAAGTACTATTTTTGAATGATTCGCTTTCGCTGTGATTCAATTTTGGCTGGAGTCTTTTGTATATGTATGTAAGTTCAAAATGAAGATAAAATAAGGATTACAGACATATGAAGAGAGGGGGAAAAAGAATAATAAAAATTAAAATAACTAAAAACTGGGGGGGGGGGATAATAATAATCATGAAAAAATCCGGGAAAGAAAGGATAAATTTTTTAAAAAAATCCGAAAAATAAAAAATATAATCTTTTCATCAGCCCACACGATTATATCCGCAAAGAAGGCGGACATAGATGGGACATGTTTTATAAAAGAACAATTTTCACAAAATGGTTAAATAATACTGCGGCGTAAGATACAGATAGGACATGTTTTTTAAAATCCCTTTTTGGAAGAGCAAATTTCGATTAAAAATTTTAGTCAGACAGGACATTGGGAAGTGCGACTTTCAGAGATGCCAACTTACTCCGGACAGCGAATAAATATTTTAGACTGGTAGTTTATTAATTGTAATTCTTGGTTTCATGAATTCAATTTATTAGGCTTTTATTCACCACTATTTTTAAATAATTCGAAGGCTTACATATAGCCAGTTTATTATACTTACGTCATGCTAACCCTTTTAAAAAATAAACAAAATTAGTCAAAAATTTGCAAATTTAGTATGTAATTATTTACCGCTTTTTAAATTATTTCGGCGTGTCCGGAGCAGTTGGCATCTGTCTAAATGAAATGATAAATTTTAGCTATTTGTTGTTTAAAGAATACTAAACGTCTAAAAGAAATTAACAATAGTAATTTTACATTTCTAGTGGTTTGTAGCATTTATTGAATTAGTGTTGCCACGTTGGCTACATTGCACAGAGAAGGGTTAGAAGAAAAATCTTTCGCAAAATGGTTATAAGTTGTAATTTCTAATAATGTTCTTATAAGATACAGAATGGTCACGCCTCTTTTAAAAAATGTTATTTTTATTAATTTGTTTTGAATAATTTTTAATTAATTACTTTCGCAAATATTTAAGTTTGTAATTAATTTAAATATCTTTATCCAAAAACTTGTTAAAATTACTTGGAATATTTCAGGTGGCTTTTAAGATTCGCTATTCCAAATTGTCGTAGGGGTGTAAGATCGAGAGAAACTAGTAAGGTAGGTTCCATTTCTATGTTATGATGTTTCTTTTCGTGAACTTTTTTTTTAATAGTGTGATAAAGTTGATTTTTTCCCGTTGCAGTCTATGTTGATTAAAAGTGTCGACCACTACAGAAAAGGTTTTAGACATTTGGCGAAGTTGATGGTGGCAGAAGGACGCATTCCGGATAAAGACCTTATATATTTTATGACATTGGATGAAATTAGAGATTTGTTGAATACGAGATATCCAAAAATAATATCCAGGTAAATTCCGCAATCCTTCATTCGATTAGGGAAACTAAACTTATAAAATAATCAATATTTATGATTTTCATTTAAAAAAATGATTTAGACTGGCTGGTTGGTGTCGTATCCTCTATTGAATCATATTTCATGGTGTGCTTGAATAGTTTTTGCTATTTCTATGGCATTAAAAGAATACAAATCCTCTTCTGTGGGATAGTTTAAGAGGTGAAGGCCTGCAGTGACTGCAGGACAGTTAAAAACATGATATGGTGTCAGTTCCACATTAAGACAGTTGACACAGTTTTTATATTTTCTAGTCTTATCTGTAGAAATTTTCATGTTTTTATGATGTTTTGTTCTTAGTTTGATGAGAGTAGTGGCTGTCTTCCTATCGATGTCAAGATTAGTTATTTGATCGTGGGCTTTGATTTTTAAAGGGGTGATAAGTCTTGACTTTGCAAAAGCATTTGCATCTGCCAACGTGGTTGGGATTGAATTATGATTTAGACTGAATTTATCATTATGCATAGCTGCCAACTTGTACGACCGATGAGAAATTATGTTCTTAATGGTAGCAACAGTATCGTTTTTGGGTATTAAATCTTGAAGTTTAACGTTTAAAAAGAAACTTTTTAAATAACCTCTACAAATCAACAACTGAAAAAAAAAATAAGTTGATTCAAAAATATACGATTCAAAAATATTACTGCGGGAACAACAGTCACTGTTGGAACTCAAAAAGGAAAAATCTCAGTTAATTGAGAAAATGGCAGTAAAAGAGTCGGAGTGATTCTAGGTTTTGGGACAGTTCCGTTTAAAGTTTATAAATGTATATTCTAACCATTTGCACGTCAATGAAAATGGCGTTAAGCCTGCATTGTTTGCAAAAGGTTTAGCTTTTGTAATTTTATTTTAAATTATTGCCGGTGTTGAACAGCTGACCCATTTCTGGATTTGAGTTCTACAATGTTCAACGCTATAGTCTAATAATTTTGAACCCAACCAAGAAGACAAGAGAGCTTTTGGAACAAACTAGCTTTCTTTGGAGGATTTTTTAATGGAACTAACTTGTAACTGCGTTACATGGAGAGGATAACACGATAATAGGTCATAGTTAGCAAGTTGACAAGATTATTCCAACCTATGATCTTTATGACATTGAGGATATTTTGCGTTAGCACTGTGGTAGGTGCAAGACGGCAGCCCAATTTGTATCGAGCAGCCGTTGTTGGGATTCAAACTGGGTCTCCTCCTTATAAGGCGAGCATTCTAGCGCTTGAACCACCATGGCTTAACTTATTCTTTTCGAAAAATTTCCTCGTGTTGCATATTGCTAATAAAACAAAAATTCTATTGCCTTGCACAGTGATATTCTTGTTTACAGTACAAACGAGCATTTTGCCTGTTACTATTATATTATATTTCAAGTTATTTGTAAACTTTTTCAGAGCAAATCAACGCAGAAAAATCTTTCCAGTGCTAGATGAATATAAATTTCCTGAAATCATACGTGGTTTTCCCAAACCAGTAAGTGTTCTATTTTTGCTTTTCATGTAAGAATTTAATATCAATTATTATATATTTTCAATTAAAATAAAGTAAACTTAAAAACTTGCCAATAACATTCATTATAAAGGTAAGAATATAAAATTATTTTCTAATGTCAAACTTTTGTTGCAAAGCAGTTCGAATTTCGCATACATTGCACTAAAGTTTAAAATTTTTGGTGATAATTGCATTTATTCTTATCTTAAAGTTCCACGATTTTTGATGATTTCTTGCTGTGTTGTCGAAATAGCAACTGATTCGACTTTAATTTTGGAGCAAATATTACGTTACTCTCCCTAATGTAGATTGGAGATTGAATGAATAACAGGGATTGCTATATACGTATTTATTCAATGAAATAGGGCTCTATTCATGAATTAAAATGAATATCTTTAAATGGTTATTTAATAATAAGATTTTTAATCGATTTTTAATAAAACTGCATGGAATATTTTATAAACAAAGCAACAGCTTACATCCATTCTAAAATATCCTAATTAATTAATCGATAGAGCAATATTTTAAGGTCATCTGTGTAGAACATTTTTGAGAGTTATTGTAGGAATGAATGTTTTCTTCATTTATCGAAATATGTCGAATAATTTAGAATGGCAGTAAGACTACGAAACTGTAACCCTTTTTTTAAAAATAATTCTGCGATATATATCGTTAAATATAGCATGAATGAAATTTACATATATATGAAGTTAAGTTACATTATACAACATGTTTATTTAATTTAATTACATATTTACATTTATAATTTATTTACAATTGTTTGAAATAGTGACTTGTAAAAAGCATAATTCTTCATCTTTACGAAAGCATAATTATAAAAAGCATAATAATAAAAGCATAATTCTTCATCTTGCACAAATTTTTTTCCGATTACAATTTCCTCATTGATTTTGTAAATTTTTAGGTAAATGAAATAGAAGAATCTTCAGATACAACAGATTATATTGCTGATTTAACAATGCAAGGTAAAAGAAAATTTATAAAACATTTACAGGGTTCTCACTGACCTTAAAAAATTTAATGGAGATAAATAATTTAGATTAAAGTACTAATATGAATTCCTTTTTTTACGATACTAACCTCATATTTCAGAGATCTGATTGGACACAGATACATCTTATTTGAAAAATAGCAGAGAGGTGGTCAAAAATGTATTAAATCATTGGAAGTAATCGCTTCTCAACATTTTTAATGTTCATGAAAACTCTGCGCTATAGGATAACAAAAATTTTGCTCATTTCTAATTAAATGTCTACCAATCTTTAAAATAGTTTGATAAAAGCTTAGCAGTTGGCTAATGCTTTGTATGTTATCGATTCACACCAGCTAAATTAGCACACAAACTTGTATCACTTGAGAAAGAGCTCCAAGACCTTCTAAAAAATGAAGAAGTGCTTCGTCTTTTTCTTAGGGGAGACCTCACTAGTTCAGTGATGTTTTTATTTCAATTCAGGACTTATACTATTCATATCAACATAAAACTCTAAATATTAGACTTTATATATATATATATGTGACAGTTTACATATTGAAATTTAAATAGTGAAATATGTGTCAATATATGTTAATATTCGTATATGTCAAATTATGACTATATTTATATATGTCAATATGTGTCAATATATGTTAATATCTATATATGTCAACTTAGATTCGATGAATCAGATATTTTTTCAATTGTTATATTTACTCAAAGTGCTTGTTACTATATTAGCTACCACATAGACTGCTAAATTCAAAATGTCTTTACTATAAATTTTTTGTAAATTTCTCGATGTATGGTACAGGGGCCTCTACGCCACCCAGGTGCCCAACTTTTGTAAATAAAGTAATAAAGTAAGTGTATATTAATGAAGTTTGCGAGAACATACAAAGCGTAGTAGTTAGCGAGCAGTACAATTAATCGTTATTGTTGTTTCAATCGGTTCTGATCCACTGTAGTATTCGATCCAAAATTGTAATGATTGAACATTGACATTAATTTTTGTGACGAAATCCACAAAGGAATGTTGTATGAATTTTTATAAGAAAATTAACATAACTTATTTGAAGATTTTACTGGTTATGCTTTTTTCATACAAGTGATTTAAATTATGTTTTTAATATTGCTTTTCCTTTAAGCGATGTACCCTAAAATACATTTAAAATAAAAAACGCGGTCTCAAGAAAATATAACTACTCTATATCACCGCTTTACTAAAGAGTAAATTTGTATAGGTAAATTAAATAAGTATAAGTAAATTAAAAAAATATTAAATTAAGGTGAAAGGAGATTCAAATTAAGGGGAATAGTATTCTAGAACAGTTTTCCAGTTAGGGAGAATGGCATTCTAGAACAGTTTTCAGGATAGGTAGAATAGTATTCTAGAACAGTTTCTAAGTTAGAAAGAATGGTATTCTAGAACAGTTTTCATGTTAGCTTGAATAGTATTCTGGAACAGTTTTTATGTTAGCTGGAATAGTTTTCCAGAGCAGTATTTTAAAACAGTATTCAAGTGAGGTAGAATGCATTCGAATTCGATAGTATTAATGAGTTACTGTGCAAATAAGGTAGTAAGAATGTGGGAGTATTTAAATAAGGTAGTAAGGGTGTGGAATTATTCAAATAAGGTAGTAGAAAAGAAGCAAAATTCAAGTAAGGGTGGTAGAGAAAATCATGATAGAGTAAATTTCATTGCTAGTTAGTACTAAGAGAGTTAAATAATATCTGATTTTAGTAAATTTTCATGAATATTATAGTTATTAGTGTAATTTTATTTCAATTACTATTGCTATGTTTTTGTTCTGATTTTCTGGAGTTAAAGAAAAAAAATATTGCGTTAAAATGATGTTGATTATTTGTATAGCAACTCTTTTATACGCTTAATTTAAGATTTTTAATTCATATTTCCAGGCATTCCTGTTAGCCAGGGTGTTGTTAAAGGATATGCTAGGGTTGCCGTATCTCTGGATCAAGCTGCGCAATTACAGGTACACGTATAGGCGTAAAAGTAACAACTACATAGCAATTTAAATAAAGTTTTGCCGTTTTTATGAACATTAGATTTGTTTTGAAACGTGTAAAATTACCTTTGATATGACTTTTGAGACTAATATATAAATTTTTCATTTCTAAAATGGCTTATTTAACGCAATTTATGATTTTTCTCCTTGTGACAATTTTTTCTGCACTGTTTGTCATTAATTTTACAACCAAATGATTTCTTCCAAAATACGCAACAAAGATTTAAATTTTTTTTAAATTTTATTTCCAATGACACATTAAAAGACTATTGAACATCAAAAATATAACTATAAATTTATAAATAAGTGCGAGTTATTTACGTTAATGCCACTCTGTGCTAATGTGAGTGGCGTGCATGTTAACGTCAGTGGTGAGAGTATTAATTCAATCAAAAATATATTTTGGAAAACAACAGCCTATAGACAGATAACAAATTATTTCGTTTTTCATTAAAAGAGCGAACATTCAAGAGTGCTGATGAGAGAGTCGAAAATATTTCCGCTTTAAAAAAAAATCTTGTGCTTAATTTTACTGATCTCTCAAGGAGCTAGATTTTTGAATTATTAGAATAAAGATTAAAAGAAAAAACTTCGCCACACCCTTGTGTGAATCACCTATGTATGTAAAAAAACGAATTAAACTAAGTGGTGTTAATTATATTTTCAGCCAGGTGAAATTTTGATCGCTTACAGTACAGATATTGGATGGAGTCCTTATTTCCCAATAATATCTGGTGTTGTCACTGAGCTTGGAGGACTCATTTCACATGGTAATACAACATTAAAGCCTTTATTATGTTACTTTTCATGTTCGCAATTTATAAAATTCCGTTTTATAATATTTTGCGTTACGTAATTTAAGCATATTAGTTTAATGTTGAAAATTGAATTCTTAAAATTGTATTTCAAAAATATATAACATTTAAAACTAAGTTTTTCTGTTAAACATATATTATAGTTTTTAAAAAGAAACTAATAAAATAACTTTTACTGAAAGAAATAGATAATATATAGATTGTTCGAAATACTTATTTACCGCAGTGAGAAAAACTCCCACTGGATTTAAGAAGACTATTTCATTCGTAGTTTGTATTCATCACACAGATAANATATTTCCCAATAATATCTGGTGTTGTCACTGAGCTTGGAGGACTCATTTCACATGGTAATACAACATTAAAGCCATTATTATATTGCTTTTCATGTTTGCAATTTATGAATTTCCATTTTCTAATATTTTACGTTACGTAATTTAAGCACATTAGTTTAATGTTGAAAATTGAATACTTAAAATTGTATTTCAAAAATATATAACATTTAAAACTTAGTTTTTCTGTTAAACATACATTATAGTTTTTAAAAAGAAACTAATAAAATAACTTTTACTGAAAGAAATAGATAATATATAGATTGTTCGAAATACTTATTTACCGCAGTGAGAAAAACTCCCACTGGATTTAAGAAGACTATTTCATTCGTAGTTTGTATTCATCACACAGATAGGACATCAGTGATTCTTTTATATATTTTTTTTTCTGACGCTCTAATTACAAGAAGAAATTATGTTTTGGTATTTTTTAATTACGAAAAATAGTCTAATAGTTGCTAAGAAAATCTGTTAGATTGTCGGAATTATATTTGTACTAAAATATAAAATCCAGAAAAAAAGTAGTTTGAAATTTTTTTCCATTCATATCCGAAAATTTATGAATAATTTATTGTACGAATTAACGAAATTTCAATGATGAGTAATTGTTTCTCCTAGTCCTAAACAACAGCAAATATGTGCAAATTTGATAAATTATTGTTTGAAAGTGAGCCGGGTTAGGAAGATTTTACTTTTAACGCAGAAAAAAAAGACCGGTATTTCTTGTTGTATTTCATAGCCATAAATTATTAAAATGCTTATAATATTTTTCTTTATTCTGATCTAAATTATCACAAAATAATTAAAAAAGTATGGAAAGTAAATTTTAAGCATTTCATCTTTAATGCTACAAGTTTAATGCTACAGATTTAAAACTGAAAATTGGACTTGCAGAAAATATAAAATTTAGTTTTTTCACCTAAGCATATTGTTTCTTGTAAGATTAAACGAATAAAATAAATTTTACTGAAAGAAATGTACAATATATAGACTTAAAAAAATAATCTTGTTCATTGTTTAAAATAAGAATTCAAAAAATAATATTTGTTGCATTTTTATAAAGGTGCGGTTGTGAGTAGAGAATATGGACTTCCTTGCGTTGTTGGACTTCGAGGAGCCACAAAGCAATTTAAAACAGGTATGCAATAAAAGTAGTGGAATTCTTTTGAAGTATGTTTAAATACTGAGAGTTTAATTTAAAAATTATAATAACTTCTCTAATGGACTGCACTTTTTTATTAAGCAGTTGTTATTTTAGGTTTAAATAATTTTTTTTCACTATATATAATGACGGACTGAAAAGTATATCATTATATTCCTTCAAGATGTTATATCATTATATTCCGTCAAGTCCTTCAAACATTAAAATTATGTATCGAAGACAGCAATGTTGATATTGATATGGAATACCTTCAGAAGAACCTGTTCTGTGGTAGCTCGAATGTACAATTTGAACGAGGTTGTGGTCTAGAAAAAATTTGAAAGTACTAGACAAATTTAGAGAAATCGATGCAATTTTGCGTATTTGTAATTATCTGATAATGTTGTATTTGCAAATTACTTAAAATTTAGACGTAAAAACTGTTGAATTCAATTCCTAAAATTAAATTGAAATTAAAAAAAAAGTACTTTTAATCAGTGTCACGTAGCATTTGTTATCACCTTCAATAATGTTTGGAATTTTAATAGTGGCGAAAACTGAATCAGAATTAATTATGTTAATTTGAAGCACAGTCTGAATAAAATCAAGTTTGGGTCTGCGACCCCTGCTGAATCAGGCAGAAACTATAATTTCTTATTTAATTTTATCACTGCTATTGAACAGTCGACCCAATTTTAACTTTACGGCTACCAATGTTGAACTCCGTATCCTTGAAATTTTGAATCTGATCTAAAAGACGAGGGGATTCCCGGTTCAAGTATAGGAAGAAATTTCTTTTTTTTTAAAGATTTGTGTTCTATGGACAGAAAAATCCCCACGGTTAGTCTGACAGCAAAGGGGTTCTAACCTATGATTCATCTACCACTGAGGATATTTTACGTCAGTGCGGTACGAGCCGGGAGCGGAATTCGTATCGAACAGCCATATTCGGAATTCAAGTCGGGTCAACTTATTGGTAGGCGAATGCTCCATCCCCTGAGCCACCACGATTCAATAAATTAAACGACCATAAATTAAAATTGTAAGAATTAGGCAATATGAGATGAAAAAGGTAATGATGGATGAAAACGGTACAAATAAAGGTAATGATTATCTGCAAATTCTGCTATAATCGAAGACAATGTTACCAAGTTTTACTATCGTTCAATGCATTACCAGAATTGGGCATTGTCAGCAATGCATAAATCGTAGATTAACTGTATAGACACTTTTCCTGTTATACTACGAGTAAGGCGATCTGGAGGTTCACCGGAACATCTCGAAAGCGAATGCTACGTAGCAATTTCTTATGTCAAAAATCGATCCAAAGTCAAATAAACTTGCGTGCGATGTTGCGTACATGATTGTACGGCACCAACAACGATACATTTCTTCGTCAATGACTCTGGACAACCTGGCTATGGCATATCTGCCACATTTTGGCATGCAGTTGGTTCACCAGGAGTTGGCATTTGGCTCCACCTCCTCGGACGCAAAAGTCATTTCAGCGCAAGAGAAGGAGGAGAAACATCTCCGCTCTTGAAAATGAGACAACCCTTAATGCGCCCCAAACGCAAACAGTTTCAAATTTAAAAACTGCTGTTTTTTCCAGCAAAATGTCTCGAAAAGGACAAACTATTCACTCATAAGAGAGAATTATCAAACTTAGGAAAATTTTAATGTTAAAAAAATGCACATAAAGATTGCGAAATAAATATTTTTGTCTTACGATCACCAAATAGCCACCTTGTTCAGAATTATTCACATATTTCTACCAAAAACAGCGAAATAGTATCGTCGGATACCACGTGGTGAGGGCGGAGCCAAGTGCCAACTCCTGTTGAACGAACTATACCTCGTTGAAGAATTTTATGAACTTCCTTTTTACTGTTCTGTGAGGCAATACAGATTCTTCGCAAACCTCTAGAATTAATGTCCTATTTTTTCCACATCAATCAGGTTAATCTTTCGCCTTTTTGAGATCTTGATGGCATTGACGTGGTTGTACAGTCCTTCGCACATTCAATTTTTATCCAATTTAATTGTTCTTGTTTCGAAAACATCGTGTCACTATACATAAGAGCTCCGGGAAGCTCAAGGCTCTGTTTGCTGCGCCAGTGCGCTTGATGTTGGATGTTAAAGTTCGTGTGATCTGAGGTAAGGAAGGCATGCAATTAACGTGTGATATAAGTAACATTATTCATTTAGGTTACATGGTGTGTATACCATGTACCAGTGTTGCTGCAGTTACAGTTACCATGTACCAGTGTTGCTACTATTAAAATTCCCACCCTTGTATTTTTTTTCCAAACCAGATGCAGCAGTTGAATTCGAATTTAGTATTTTCTTTTAGAAAGTAACAAATGTATAGCGTATTCCTTTTTTTTTAACCTTTCAGGTGATTATGTTTTGCTTGATGGAAAAAAGGGTGTGCTTCAAAGATTACCGAAGCCACAAGACGAAGACAAAGATTAAGAAGGCTCAAAAATGCTCATCAATAAAGATATCTATCATTACTTTCAAAGAGCTTACAAATTGAAGAAACTAGAACTGATATTCTTGCACGTCTGTTTACTTAGATGAAATCGATGAAGTATATTGAAATGTTTTTTGTATAAAAAATAAAAATTTATTTATCAAAAAGAATGGCTGTAGAACTCACTTATAAAAAATATAGATTGCTTACTGACAAAAATACGCATTTTTATTAAATAAATAACTTTATGTTCAAACATTTCGTATGAAAATACACTTATTTAAATATCAATTATGAACTATTTATACACAAACGTACACAGATGACGATCTTATTCATATTTTAATAAAATATTTATGTATATTATCGTTTCTGTTTATAGACATACTTTTCGTTCCATGACTGAATAGTGTTAAGATTTGACAGAAATAGAAGTATATCTATGCATATTATTACTGTTTAAGACAACTGACTTTTGTGCCTAATTTTGCTTTTTGTTGTCAAAAAAGAAATGGAAAGAAATCAAATAGTTAAATGAGGTTTTCCAGATGTGTTTTTTGATGACTGCATAGTGTTAACTTTTAAGATTTGAATGAGATCGAAGTATATTCCATTTTTTCTTTTGTAACCAAGAAACAAGAGCAAGGAAATAACATAATTAAATGCGTTTTTCCAGATGTGTTTTTGATGATTGCATATTGTTAATTTTTAAGACTTGAAAAAAAATCGAATATGCTAAATTTTCCGTTTGTAATCAAGAAACAATTGCGAGAAAATCAAATAATTACATCAGTTTTTCCTGATGTGCTTTTGATCGCATACTGTTAACTTCCCTTTGAGCCGCGATGGCTTAGGGGATAAATAGCTTTTCTTGATGTGTTTTTGATGACTACATAGTGTTAGTTCCAAAGGAAATTCGAAGCATATACGAAATTTTCCCTTTGTGACCAAGAAACAAATGCGATAAGGAAATCATGTAATTACTTGAGTTTTTCTGGTATGTTTTTGATGAGTGCATAGTGTTAATTTTTCTAAACATTGGAAGCGTATACTAAATCTTCCCTTTGTAACCAAGAAACAAAAGTAATACGGAAATAAAAAATTTAAGTGAGTTTTTCTGAAGTGTTTTTGATGACTGCATAGTGTTAACTTTTAAAGGAATTGGAAACCTATTCTAAATTTTCCCTTTGTAACCAAGAAAAAATGCAATAAGGAAATCATATAATTATATGAAATTTTCTTCATTGTGTCTGATGACTGCATAGTGTTCATTTTTCTAAAAATTGGAAGCGTATACTAAATCTTCCCTTTGTAACCAAGAAACAAAAGTAATGCGGAAATAAAAAATTTAAGTGGGTTTTTCTGAAGTGTTTTCGATGACTGCATAGTGTTAACTTTTAAAGGAATTGGAAACATATTCTAAATTTTTCCTTTGCAACCAAGAAACAAATGCAATAAAGAAATCATATAATTATATAAGCTTTTCCTCATTGTGTTTTTGATGACTGCATGATTTTAATTTTTAAGGAAATCGGAAGCATATACAAAGTTTTCCCTTTGTAACCAAGAAGCAAATGCAACAAGGGAGAGCGAGATTGAGTTGCTAAATTTAAAAGGGAAAATTTCTTTTCGAAGAATTAGCGAAGTGAAGAAGCAATTACTTTATTTTGACTGACCAACATTTTATGAATTGCTAGCTTGTCTCCCCTATCTAGATGGATTTATGTAGTGCTGCTGCAATTTTAATTAAACATTAGAATTAAATGGAATTTATATTACCAGAACATTTTTTCTGAACATTAGAAATATTTTGACTGAATCCATTAAAACATACACTCATTAGAATAACTAAAATTAATGAAATCGAACGTAATATCTTACGATCATCTTTTGATTTTTATTATAATTATTAATTTTAAACTATATAGTTCATCATCTGTATCAATGAGGTTTGAAAGTTAAACACTTTTATAAGAATTTAACATAAGGTGATTTGAAGGTAAAAACTTAATTAGAAAATCTAATTTTCGTTCAGGATTCATGTGATTATGAATTAAGCTTTCTATATACTGATATTTAAAGCATGCAAACATGTGAAATATTTTTTTAAGGAAATAAATAAATTTCATAGCTCATGAGCAGTAAAGAACAGCTAATTCACTCAATAGTGAAAGACAGCAAAGCCGACCATCCAGAAATAATAGACAATGATAGGGGGGATTGGGGGGATACAATTTGAGGACAGCTAACTTTTCATGTGCGGCCCGTGAGAGCACTTCAATATAATAAAAGCAGTATTATAATTTTTATGAAAATAATAAATTACTCCTCTAGAAAAATGACATAATCAACATGGGGGGAGCCGCGACGGCTCAGGGGGTAGAGCGATGAGGGGAACCGGGTTCGAATGCCGGCGATGGCTGGTTGATACGCTGGTTGATGCAAATTTCCCTCTATACTTGATTCAGAAGTTCCCTTGTCTTCTGGATTTGGTTCAAAATTACAATATTACGGAATTGAACATTAGAAGTAATAAACCCGAAAATTGGGTAGGCTTTTCCATGACGGATATAAAATAAAATATAAAAAACCATTCTGGTGAATGATACAAAGGAAGATCCGACTGATTAGCCAAACTTTTTCCAATGAAAATCAGTACACCTATAATTAAGAGACTCATCAAATCAACAACTTTATGATTCTGCGGATCAATTGAACAAATTAATCAGAAGGCAATGACAAATGAATGATTAATTTATTAATTAATCTTTGAAAGAGAGAATGAATGAGTTATTAAATCAATAAATGAGAGAAAATAAGATGGATATGATAAATATAACTCAAAATCTACCATTTACTCATTTATTGATTTACAAAATAATTTATAGACTGATTCTTTAATCTCTGATTATTTATTAACTTTAACAGTTAACTGTAGATTCATTTAAATGCTTATTCATCTATGAGCTGATCAGCATAGTAAAAACATATATATTAATGGCAGTCATCACAAAGCACCCTCTGCGAGCTTGTCAATGTTTAGCAACCTAATGTAGATAATTTTAATTAGACGAAATCAACATTTTGATTTTAACAAACATAGCTGTAAAAATATTACAGATAGTAGTAGTTTTAACTTATGTGTAACATAATGAATTGTGTGAGGTTAAAAAATACAAAATCATATAACTTAAGAAGTTGAAGTGGTAAGTAGGAAACTATTTGGAATTAATTTGAAAACACTATTAGTATTATAAATGCTAGAAAATATTAACTAATTTTATTTCAACATTTTAAACTAGATGTGAATAATGCGCTTGAACAAAAATAATTTATTCATGGTTCAGCATCGCTAGTATATTAAAAATGGAATTTTAAATGAAGATCTTAACTTCAGCAAACTGTTAAGAATTCTTGTCACAGTAAGTGGTAAAAGATTAAACGACCTCACATGCTTCTTGTCTTAGCTTACAAGACATTGTAGAAAGTTTAAAAGCGTTGCTTTATATAAACTCCTGTTTGTGAAAATTGCAACACCATGAAGGAATCGTCATAATTGAATGAAATTTAATACACAGTTGAGTGGTAGTGGTACAAATAAATGATTAAACTTTCAAAGCAAACAAACAATAACAAGAGATCGAAATCAGTATTTTGTGTAGCCACCACG